TGTCCAAGCTTGATTTTATGCCTCTTACTGTCCTAAATGCATTTTGGGAATACATCCTGCCACCATGTGTTGGACTGGAGCATTTTTGTACAGTCTACATCTAAATTCCTGCTTATGTGGTAGATTCCTGCTTCAGTGAATCTGATGTTTGGTCCTTGCTCTTTTGCTGCTATAAGCAATGTCTCAGTGCTATCATTTAGTCCAGCTTTTTCCAACTAACTTTCCGACTTCTCAGTTTCAACTACCTCAGCTATTAACTGTCTGTCGATGGTTAATCCCAAAGAGAGTAATGCTTTGCTAACTTTGCTATACTTTCTCTGTTTGGTCATTCTCCAGTCTTTGCAGATGCTTCAGCCATTCTCTCAGCAACTTGTGGCACCATACTGTTGGTCCTGAAAGTTTCGAGTGTCCGAGAGTTCGAGTTTCGTTCAATACAATAGCTTTGGCACTCACTAAGCTGCACCCGTCTTCTTTCCGAGTGGTGTGCAATCCTTGAGTGCTATTTGGGGTGGGAAATTTCTGTGCATTCTGTGAGCAATTTCCTGATCTTCATATCACAGCCTCCATGTCTTCTTTTGTCCATTTTAGTGTGCTGGCTGCCTGCCTGATGACCGACAGGAGATGCAAACTTATCGCATGGACTTTTTTCTTGCCATTGAGCTAGTTTTTCAAGATTTATTTTTTAGTGGTCCTTAGATGTTGAACTTTTCTTATCGTGGTTGCCAAATAACTGTGGGATGTCAAGGTACTTATAGTCTGTATATCTTCTATATGTCTTGCTGGTAGGTTTTCTTCATCAATCGTTCCTTTCTTTGAGCGAATCTCGCTTGATTATATAACTTGAAGTCATCCAATTAGAGGAGGTGGTTGATGGCATCTTCGCTCTTGAACTTGTATCCATTTGTGATTGTATGGTTGAGGAGGCTTAGACCTATGATAAAGAAAAGGAGGCTACTCTCAGGAGGCTGCTAAAGATAGGTCAACTCTGCGCTGTGCAGAATGTTCAGAAAAAAATAGGAAAGAAGAAATGTACATGCAACAAGCTATGAAGCTGGGAACTGCCATCCAAGTAATCTCCGTAGCGAAGTAAAGCAGTTGACAAGATGCAAAAAATCATGAATAAACTGACTGCAATTAATCATCGAGATGGACTACCGAGGCACCAGACAATATACTTGAAGATGCAAGCAGTCCTCGCAACAATTCCTATTGTCACTATTACAGAAACCAATAAACTCAGCCACAGCCACTGTAATTCTGGAAATGCTTGTATAGAATCAAAAAGAATAGCAATATATGTGGGCCCATACAAAACGAGGTTGAAGAATAAGATTAAAGTATAATGCAGAGAAGTAATCCAGGTGGCAAAATTAGTAAAGGTGTGAAAATTAAGAACAGTGCTCGGATGCTGGCAAAATACTTCATAAAAGCTTCACTCCATCAGATACAGCTAAACAAAGGCTCAAAGCATTTACTATGATGCTAAAGAGATATATAAGAGAAGCAGAGGCTAAAAGGAATAAAAAAGCTCTGTTCTCCAAGGAACTGTCCAGGATGTACTTCCAACATCAATGCAGTAATACGATAATAGTACAGCCACTAACAGTAGAAACTATACAATACTCGAAGAATAAGATATAGAAGATCCATAACACCAGTGCAAAATGGCTGCAGGATTTGAATACAAGTCATAATAATCTCGCAGAATAAGAATCATCTATCATCTAGTTACTGACTTTCAACAGCGACTCAAAAATATGAAAATTTGGACACCATCTAGCATAGCACCTACTGGCTAAAGAAGCTAATAGCTGTTCATTTGCGCCAAACAAGGATACAGGATACAGATGAACCAGCTGCTTGTAGCAGGCTCTCACCCAGACTGGTTAAGACTAATCATAAAAGATCCTTCATCAGGAAATAACATTTGCTGATACCAGCCAGTAATCTACCTCTCTACAATGTGGAAAGTATCATAGCCATTACATGACCATATGAGCCAAAATAGTTCAAAAAGGTACTGGAAACAACACCAGATGCTCCGGATATTAACTGCTGGTACATAAGGCAATCCCTCAAGATTCAAAATTCTGATAGACCAATCTGTTTACATCTTGGATTAACTATACGTAAATCTATGATTCAGTGCCCACACATGGACCTGTGAATATCTGGCTCTATATAAAGTCAATAGGACCCTATAGATGTTCATTCAGAACTCGTTACGACTCATTTGAAATCAACTCAAAAGACTTGCATAAGTCGCTATCAAATGTGGTACATTAAGATGCATTAAGATGCAAGACACCCTACTTTCTGCATAAGTCTAAACCTCCTCAGCCAAATAATCACCAGAAGCGGATATGGATACAAATTCAAGTGCGAGGCCACCATCAGCCATCTTCTCTACATGGATGACGTCAAGTTATGAAAAATGAACGAGCTCATCCATCTAACAGCGAGGATAGTGGGATACCATTCAGGAAATGTGGCCAAAACGTGGTAGCAGAGGAAAATTAATGATTGATGAGATGGGCCTGCCATCAGGACATATAGTGGATAGCTTCAAATACCTAGGTATCTCCTTTCTTTTTCTTCTTCTAACAACTTTTACCATTTACTGGTTAAACTGGCTCCACTGGCTAAATAGAAAGACGTTTCCAAGCTACGTCAAGAATAGAAGCCATTCCTTCTTCTTTCGTCAAAGTCCACATATCATATATTGCTCTTCCACCACTCTACGTTAAAAGTTTTTCCTGATCATGGCAGTACAGGCCTTGATTGGCCCATCTCGTTTTTGGCATTACAAGTAACGATGTATCAATATGTATCAATTCTTGTGGTGGACGACGTGCCCTGGACAGCAAAGACTTTGTGATGGTGCTAATGCAAGTGGTGTTTGAATGTGGATGCGATCACGTGAGATTTTACCTACTCGTCGTAAAATGCTCCTTGGACATAAGTGGTCAAAGACAGATAATTTCTTAATATCATCTACTCTCATTAGCCATATCTCGCAGTCATATAACAAGATCGAAGCTATATAGACACGGGCTTTTGTTTTTTATGATGATTTCGAGACGGCTCCATAAAGATCATTCGGAAGAACGAATCTATGTATCCCACAGTCATATAAAGGAAAAAGTGTAATACCACCAAAGAATAAATCGTAAATCGTGAAAAACTAGCTCAATGGCAAGAAAAAAGTCCATGCGATAAGTTTGCATCTCCTGTCGGTCATCAGGCAGGCAGCCAGCACACTAAAATGGACAAAAGAAGACATGGAGGCTGTGATATGAAGATCAGGAAATTGCTCACAGAATGCACAGAAATTTCCCACCCCAAATAGCACTCAAGGATTGCACACCACTCGGAAAGAAGACGGGTGCAGCTTAGTGAGTGCCAAAGCTATTGTATTGAACGAAACTCGAACTCTCGGACACTCGAAACTTTCAGGACCAACAGTATGGTGCCACAAGTTGCTGAGAGAATGGCTGAAGCATCTGCAAAGACTGGAGAATGACCAAACAGAGAAAGTATAGCAAAGTTAGCAAAGCATTACTCTCTTTGGGATTAACCATCGACAGACAGTTAATAGCTGAGGTAGTTGAAACTGAGAAGTCGGAAAGTTAGTTGGAAAAAGCTGGACTAAATGATAGCACTGAGACATTGCTTATAGCAGCAAAAGAGCAAGGACCAAACATCAGATTCACTGAAGCAGGAATCTACCACATAAGCAGGAATTTAGATGTAGACTGTACAAAAATGCTCCAGTCCAACACATGGTGGCAGGATGTATTCCCAAAATGCATTTAGGACAGTAAGAGGCATAAAATCAAGCTTGGACAGGTAGCTGGTATCATCTATAGAAATTTGATTCGGTGTATGGCTTAAACCTTCCCAAGACTAGATGGGAGATTTCTTAGAAAACCATGGATGATAATAAGGCCAGGGTCCTGTGAAAATTCTCTCAGATAGATAAACAAATACTGGTCAATCAACTAAATATCGTGGCACAAAAACCAGAAATCTATACTGATAAAGTAATACCAAGCCAGGTGATAAGAACATTAGAAAGGAGGATTATGGGAAGCTAGAGAAATACCAGAGGCTGAAAGAGGAAGTAGAGGTATGGAAAGCGAAGGTTATATTGGTTGGTCCCAATGATAATTTTGTAGAAGAGAGATTCCTTAGAAAATGGATGATAATAAGACAAGGGTCCTGTGAAACTTCTCTATCCAGATAGATAAACAAGTATTGACTAATCAACTAAATATCATGCTAGAAATGAACCAAAAATCAACATTAGTGAGATATAGCAATATCAAGTGACAGGAACATTAGAAAGAATTATAAGGATCTAGAGAAATCAGAGACTGAAGGAGGAACTAGAGATATTGGCAGTGAAGGCCAAATTAATTCCAGTGAAACTCTTGGAACTATGACTCCTAAACTAGAAAAGTGGCTTCAACAGATTCTAGAAACATCGTCAGAGATCTCTATCCAAAAGAACTAAGAATAGCCCAAATGTGCAAAACCCTCAGCGTCCTAGGCCTCTGGTAGAGGACTCGACATTGCGGATCTCTTTACTAACGGTGGTGAAAAAGTGATTTTCCAGAGATTTTTTTTTAGTATGATAAGAGAGGTTACAAAGAATTTCTGAATAATTTCAACACTGTTTATTGTTAATAAACATGGTTTTTTACCCAAAATAAGGATAATTCTATCGACAGATTTTAAGAGAACCGATGGATATCATTCAATTTAACAAAAATGCAAAGAAAAGTTCCTGTACTCTCGTATTTTAGTATTAAAATACCAAATTTTAAAATCCATCATCTGCGGCAAGTCGTAAAATTAGTAACTACCTTTAATGATATGACCGTCGAAGACTATCGACTTCGCTTTAGACTTTCTCCGATGAGTCTCAGGCAAATCAAAAACCACCGAGTTAGGAGCAAAACTGGATCTTGATTTTCTCCGCTGACTTTCACGCAAATCAAAAAATTCAGGGCTACGAATCTCGATGACTTGATTATAATGCGCGTTAATTTGGTTTCCTATTAATGACTGATCAAAACGTAGAGCTGAACGTGCAATACTATCACGATGACGATCTGCTGTAGACGATATTCGACGAAGCAAAAATGGTAATTGATTAGGCGAATAGAAGAACATTACCAGTTTTATAGTTAATAAGAAAAAACTGGATGAATAAATTCAGTGGAAACTGGGTGAAGATTAAATATGAAGATAAAATCGTTGAGACGACTAAAAAATAAATTCTTAGGATAAGTCTGAAATCTTTTGAAGAAGTTTTCAAGTGAATCAAGTGAAGTAGAAAATAAAACAATTATTTTCCATAAAATATTGTCATCATCATCATTCAACATTACTCTTTTTTTTATTCTATAAGTGGAGTAAATATTCTGAATTTGGCAGTCTGAATAATCAGCTAAACATGAAGAAAAATAATCGATGATAATGATGATGGGGAAAAATAAAATTACGAAGTTGTTCAAAAATATGGATCATTTAAATAAATTTAAAAAGCTAGTGATAATGGTGACTCGTTCAGATTTGGTGAGAATAGTTTTTCGTTCAGATTTGGTGAGAATAGTTTTTCTGACTGTCCGATTTGAATTGTTTTGAAGATCTTATGAAATAAATTATGGTGAAATTAAAATATAATTATAGAAAGGATAGTGATGAATGAATTGGACGAAAATATTTATTTATAGATATGACTTGAAGACTGCGAGACCAGTCAGATGAACCGTTGTTTTGCTATTTTATTTGCCGGAAGTGATTGCTAATCGCGAGTATTGATGAAATGGAATTTCGCTTTGTGATTGTCACTCTAACACCAAACAAAACTTATATAGACTTACTATTGAAGAAAAGAGAATTCTTTTAATTTTCAGCCAAAACATCAAGAAATCAAATTGGATTGGGTAGATAGGATATGATAGGATGGCATGTCATCTTTTCTTATTGCACTACGAGACATTTCGAATTTCAATATTCCCTTATATTTGCTTAAACTGAGCGAATAATTTGACTTTTTTGCATAATTCATTGAACATCATCAAATGCAGGAATATAACTTAAGGAGAATGACATTTTTTTGTTAAATCTAAATTTATCGCTTAATTATTTAACTGAATGATTTTTTTTTCAGGTTTATTTTTATTTTACTTTACTTCTTAGGTAAATTCGTATTTTCATTTATGAATTATAATTAAGAAATCTTTTTTGATAACAAATGACCGAAATTAAACAATTAAAAACCGAAAAACCGCAAAAACGAAATTAGACAAATAAACTCTCGGCGATGTCGGCAAAACGATGACTCATTTTATATAATCCTTTTTTTACGGTTATCCATTCTCTTACAAGGATTTGCAGTAATTTAGAGGAAACATTGGAAATCAGAGCAATTGATATTCAAGAGACATTATAAAATTGTCATATCCTTGGATCACCTTTCATCTAAGCTTTTATCGATATTAATCTAGATTTCCAGAAAAAAAATTAAAAAATTTAAGTTCAAACAAACAACTATCATGAAAAACAAAGTAATATTTCCATCAAAAATCGCAAATTTCCTGGAATGCCTTTTTATATTAAATCCGGAACTAGATTCGAACATATTGTATGAAACCGTGAACGATCAAAATTTTTTAAATTTTGAATTCATCTCAAAATTCGAGTGTTCATGTTAATTTATTAACATTTTTTTGAACTTAAATTTTTGAATACAAAGTAAATTAATTTGAATTCAAAATCGACAGAAAAAAATCATTGAATAAATTAACTTTAGGAAAAAAATTTCCTTTTACTTGCTTGTAATGCTTAAATTAATAAATGTTATGGACATGAAAAAAATTAAGAAAACTATATTGCTGTTTGAATTCCTCTCTTCAATAAACTTGCAATCGGCCAGTCGACTTTTAATTAATAAAATCTATTGAATATTAGAGATAAAATTAGAGCTTAGTTAAATTATTTCCTGGCATTATCAAAGGATTATAGAAATATATACTGTTCCAAATGACTATTCATAAATGGTCATAAATGGTCAAATGGTACTTTTAAGAGATAGCATTTATGACATGTATATTCGCTTCATTCAAAACGATTCCTAGCCATATGATGAAGCTCTTAGCGAATAGTTCGTATTTAAACTAACAATTAGACAATAGACAATAGGTGCGACTTAAATCTTCCTTAAAAATTCCAAAATCGTAATAAGGGAATCCAGAAATAAATATGAATTGGAAAAGCGAAATATCGGTTCACCATAGATCAAAATTTGACAATCTTTAAGTCATTCATTACCTTCAACTTGCGTCAAGCTGAGTCATTTAACTTATTCTTTGTAGCAATTATAATCACTTTCTCAAAACGATGGAACTTCCAGTCGTGTCGAAAAAAACTATATTCTACGGAGAATTACACTAAATATAAATTAATTTCTCACTAAATATAATTAATTTAAATTAATCACTCAATTTTTTTGATACGACTTTTTAAGGTGTGAGATTGGTGAATGTTTTTTAAGTAATAAATTTTGGTGATAGGACCAAATATTTATTGGAAATTCTTTTTAAGTAAGAAAAAAGCAGTTTTTATTCTAAAACTGTGTTGGTTTTAATAATTCATGAATTAAATTTCGTTAAAGCAAAAATTAGCAAAAGAAGTTTAAGATTAATATACTGAAATTCAGGCCTTAAATAATATATGTCAGTAATTTAATTTTGGGAGTAGAATGGCTCAGTGGCTTGTTCTTCAATTCAAAGCGCGAATACTGAGGCTCTATTCTCTACAAAATTCGAAACCTGTCCGAAAATTCAAGTGGTACTGACGACTCATCTGTACTTCTATCGCCAAAGGACTCCCTGGAATATTTGTCCAGAGCGACAAGTCAGTGGAGTGAGTTTAATCAGTAATCGTGTGGTTTCTTAAAAAGAGAAGAAGAATTTAGCTTTGGTACATAGTGGTTAAGGTTGGGAGTAAAGGTGTGAAAAACTTTTTTTTTTCTACAGAAGCTTTAAATCTGCGAAAAATCTGCCGAATTTCAATTAAAGAGATCCAAATCGAAAAAAATTATATTCCATTTACCCCATCAATGGAATTGTTTAAATGTTTTATTACATGAGATATATATATATATATAATATATATAAATATTATATATATATATATATATATAATATTTATATATATATATATATATATATATTAATATAATATAATTTATTTTTCATATTTAAATTGAATTTATAAATATTTATTTTAATATTTATTCTTATTTTAATACTTATTCAACGTTTATTTATAATATATATAATATATATATATATATCCGTCCACTTTCTAGTTTCCAATGAAATTCATTTTTATTATAGTTCGAGTCCATATTGTAATTTTGCAACCTTCGCGAATTGAGGAGCCAATAAAAACGACCATGCAAAATTTTCAATGCTTCAATACTTCAAATATTCATTGTTTTTTTCTGTCGCTCGACTGATTTTTCCATATAGTACAAATTTTTCCAAGGAATTCACCCGTTCTTTTCAGGAAAAAAAGAATGCTTAAGATTGTGAAATAATTAGAAGATCGAAAATAAAGTGGGTTATTCGCTTCTTATTTCGAAGCGCCGATGCTACCTGGCAAGAATCATTATCTGTTCAGATTTGTCTTTGAAAAATTCGGCTGGCGTTATCAACCCACTTCTATTTGTATTTCTATCGCTAAATTATTTTCTAGCGAGTTCTCTAGCAAGGTTTATCTGGTCAAATAGACAGCAGAGCAAGTCCAACTGGAAATGGTGAGCATTCATTCTTAGAAATAGAAAATAAATGCATACGTATAAATAGAAATAGAAAATATAATTTGGAAACATGCAGAGATAAATGGAGAAAAGTCGATAAAATAGTCAAAAAAAACCTAAAATCAGTCAAAGTAAGCACCATTTTCATTGGACTTTTAGAGTAATTATCATGCAAATTCGAAATATATTATTTGCCTCAAAGTAAGCAAATTTGTCGCAAATAGACCGATTCGAACTATGCTGCTGTTTTAAATAGATGTACGAAAATAATAGCTCTACAAAAATTAGAAACCATCAATATGCCGAAGACAGTATCAGCTGCAAAATATTATCATCTGCTTCATTTGCAAGAAAAAAAAATAAATAAAATGATACATCATTGGGGGTATATAGCTTTCACTGAGTTTAATTCTAATATCTTGACAGAATTAATCTTGTCTTTAAGTGCCCAAGTGCCTTGTGACCACCTTACTCTATTCCCAAATGATTTAGCAAAAAACCCATCTAAAAATTTAGTCAACGCAGTCAAGCCAGAAATGCAGTTGGAAGAAATTTATCGGAAATTAAATCCAGAAAATATTTCGAGCATTTTAGAAAAAAAGAAGCTTACGATCGGGTTTCGTCGAAGCGCTTTGTATTAATTTCTTCCTGTCACTACTAGTAGATTTCCGTCTTTGTTCGGCATCAATACCAGCCGTTGTTCGTATTAGGCCAGCGGTACGAAATAGCGCTACTGCTGGACTAAACTGTTCGTTCCGAAATGCTTGCGAATAAATCATTTTGCTCTCCTTCGGGCGATAGAAAAACATAGTTCAATACAATGACAATGATGGTTAATAGAAAACTGGAGAATGGATTCCATTGACCGATTCAATTGACGAACACAATCAGCGCCAATAATTTCACATTTAAGGCACATCGGAAGTTTTTTTAAAAAAAAAAACCAGAACAAAGCGATTTACTTCCAATTAGCCGAGAAAAAAGCACAACTATCGCCTTCGTAAATGGTCATTCATAGCATATGAATAGTAGCAGCAGCAGCAAGAAAACTACACTTCATTTTTTGTATGACAACGTTAATTTCCAATAAATAAATAAATAAGTAATCGAAACCGATGAAGGAACTTAGACCTAAAATTAAGTTGACAACTTTGCTCATATATTAAATTATATTATCGGAGATATATTATATGAGATGACTACTGGCTATGATCATTGATCGCGTTTTAGAATGATAGATATAAGTAGTTAGGATAGGATATAAATTGAGAATTGCAGGATATATACGAATTGCCTCTTTAAAATAACGAAAAATTCTCAAAATGTCGTTTCGTCGTGCTCATGCTCATTCTTTTTTTTCATCGCTACCAAAAAACAAAAAATATTACCAAAAAAAATTTACGCAGATTATCCAAAAAGCTACACTATATATCATGGAATTTGCTGGCTAATCGCCTTTATACATAGTTATTTTTCATATTTAAGCAATTTTAATTTTTTTATTTAATCACTCTTTTTATAATCACATCAGCGTTTTGCTCGCCAACTTATTAAAAAAAAAAATTTAACAAAGCCTAAGATTTGATCTAAACCATAAGATTATAGAAAAATAAATAGAATATTAAATAAATAGAATATTAGTTTTTTTAATGGAATTACAAATTGGACGATCAAGATGTCGGCTTCATCCTTTCGGAAGATAGATGTTTCTAAGATTATTCTAAACAATAGGATAAAATTTGGATATGTCGAAAAATCTCAGTGAAATTAATTTTGCGCACAAGGATATTATTTTTCACAGAAAATCATCGCAGAAACTTGCATGGGGAGCGAAAAGTAATGAGAAAATTGAAATTTGCGAATAAGGTAACGTTTTATGCAAATTTTCAATCGTTTATTTCGACCGCTGGTTTAAAATAACTATGTTCAAAAAAATATTAAGAACCACATTTGTATTGAAATTTACCACCCTATTTTTTTAATCAAATGTAACTATAAATCAGATTTATCATATGATTTATTTTTATTGATGAATTATATTTTTAGAGTAGATCTAAAGTAAGAACATTTTTTTCCACATTTTCTGGTTTTTTTGATTTTATCATCTTTTATTTTTATAATTGTTATGTTTATTTAATAATACAAAGAATCATGAATATGACCAAAAATATGAATCAAAATCAATATCAAAAAAATGCACCGTGGTACACAACCACAACCACAAAAAAAAGTTTTTGTTGAATCTCATATGGCTTCTCATGGCAAGCGTTAGAAAAAATACAGGATATAATAGTTTAAAAAATTTTTTAAGAGGCCTCACCATTATTAATTTGGCTCGCTCCACTAGTTTGTCGCATTAGATAAATATGCTAGGCCCCTTGACGATAGAAGTACATTTGAGTCACCATCATCACCGAGATTAAGGCTTACTCCTGCGTTCAGAATTGAGCAGTTCTATGTCCCAATGGTTTAAAAATATATAGCTTTATTTTGTACCCTGTCTTAAATTTAAGCATATAATCTATAATCTAAATACACTACAGAAGTTGGTTTCAATGATAATCGTGCTATACTAGAATATAGCAATGCAATGAGTGGCAAAATCTGTAAATCAGGAAAATGCAGAACACATTCGGTCACCTTTAAAGATTTCATATACTATAGAAAAGCTTCTATGCTTCTAGCATTGTAAAAGCGTTTAAAGGAAAATTTAAGGAAAATTTATAAGACTGGAAAATAATCGGATTTCCAGATTCACAAAACTTGGGAAAATCGTATCAATGGTTAAAGAAATTAGGAAATATACATATAAATATAAAAAAGTTTACGACATAAATGTGTCTTTAGTTCAGCAATTTTTCATTAATTATCCAGGTGGCGACTGTACTTCTATCGCCAATGGACTCCCTGGCATATTTGTATAGCGCGTCAAGCCAGAGGAGCAAGTCTAACCAGTAATAGTTATAGCTCTTTAAAAAAAATATATAAGTAGTCAATAGTAGTAGTATAATTAACCATCCCAAAAACCTGGGAGATTGAGTGTCTTGGCTGTTCCTAGATTTGTTCTGGAAAGAGATTTTGTTCCTGGAATCAGTTAAAGCTATGTTTCTTGCTTAGAGGCCATAGCTTTTAATGCTCCAATTGTTATCAGGATTAATTTAGCCTTATCCTTCACATCTTCTTTAGTTCCTCTTTCTGCCTTTGGTATTTCTCTAACTTCTCATATCGTTTCTTCTTGATGTTGCTGTTATTTGCTATTGTTATATCTATCACCAGTGCTGATTTCTGGATTTTGTCTATCACAACCATATCTGGTTCATCGGTCGACTGATTGGTTGATATTTATTTGTCTATCTGGATGAGGAAATCTACAGGATCTTGTCTTATTATTCTCCATGATTTTCTGAGGAATCACCTATCTAGTCTTGAGAGAATAAGCCATATATACCCGACAGATAATCCTGTAGATGATCCTAGCTACATGGTTAAGCCTTTCAGTGTATAATATTCCTGCTTGCCTGCTTTTATATCCTGCCGTTATATTGGACTGTTTCTGAGGCGTTTTTGCATTTTTGCACCTATAGTCCCATCTAGTATTGTAAATCCTTGTTTCGATGGATCTGATATTTACTCTAGCACTGCTACAATTAATATTCAGCGTTGCCTTTTACACAGGCATCAAGTAGGGTATAATGTCTACTTCAGCTATCTGTCGATGGTGCAATCCAAGTAGAACTTTGCTTTGCCATCGTATTTCCTCTGCTTGATCCTCAGCAGCTTATCCTTTGGTGCCATCTTGCTACTATGTTTCTGAATGCTTCAAGTTTCGTTCAAAATAGTGGCTTCCATACTCATCAAGCCGCACCAACTTTCTTTCCGGTTGTTGTACAGTCTTTGGGTGCTGGACTTGTGGTGGAAATTTCCGAGTATTTTGTGAGGAGTTTTCTCGTCTTTACATCAGCAGCATCTCTTACAATGCCAGTTGCTTACCTAATGACTGGCAGAACGTATATATTTGTGGAGAGAATTATATGTATACTTATAGATAGCTGTTATATAGATACATATACATGCTTTTATATAATTATTACATATAATTACTAAGTTATTTACAAATAGATTACTGAAATTTTTATAATTTTTATTGAACCCATTTAGAACTTTAAAGAAAAAACTAATTTCCTTAATATTTCGACATTTAACCTCATTGTTAAATCGAAAATCATTGAGAAGAAAATTTTCTGGGTTTTAATATTTTTATATCATGCAAAATTCATGCTGCAAAATTATTTCAGCATTTGAACAGGTTAGCTCAGTAACTGTTGTTCGGATTATCATACCTTATATCATTTTTGAAGCCTTCGACAAGACAATATCGTTTAAAAATTTGTATGGTGCTGGAGGACTATTCTCTAAAATTTCTCACCATATTTTAGCCAGTGAATCTAGAAATGGTAAAACGAACCACATAAAATATCTTCAAAAAAATAGAAAAGTTTTGCAAGTTGGAATTTAATTCAGTTCCGATTAGCAAAATGAATAATAAATGGAATATGAATTAAAAGTTATGAATTATTTTTAAATGACTTTAAATGAATAAAAATTCGCTAAGAATATAAATTTGTTTAGCTAAAATCTCGATAGATCTAAAAAAATTTTTATAGATATTCTTTTATTCGTATATATTTCTTCGTTTTTATTCATCTTGTCGATAATAAATCGGCCACAAGGGCATAAAAATCTTCGTTTCCTTAAATCATTCTATATCTTCTTAAATTAATAACAAAATTGGCAAGAATTTTACAGTGAAATAGTACAGCTATATTTCTCATCCTTAATTATATTCATGCATTAAAATTAAATAAAATGCCAAAAAAGAAATTCATTTGCCGGAAAGAAAAGCAATGTTTTCAAACACAATTTTACTTCATGTTTTCCTTCACAAAGAGTATTATACAAAAAAATAATGCAAATATGCGAAAATATTTAATAATTTATCTGATAATTATTTAATAATATTATATTTTTATTGCTGAATTCCAGTACCAAATGATACCAAATTACGGCGATAAATTGAAAAGATCAGCCTAAAAAACAAAGTAATTTGGCCCACCATTCTTTGCGTTCTATTATACTTGATGCTTAATTTAGCACTAGGAAATTGAAACAGTGAAGTAGTTTAAAGAATAGGATAGTTTAAGATGAATGTTAGCCATCACTCTTCGATGACAATTTTTTAATGAAAGGTGATTTAACGAAAGGCAAAAAACTAACAAGATAAAAATTCGATTAAAAAAAATGTATATTTCAGAAGATTTATTTTTTCCTAAAAAACTTAAAGTTAATTAACTCATAACAGTATAGCAGTGCCTCCAGCAATATTAAATTATTCAGACCATCTTTTCAACTTTAGTGTTTGAAATAGATTCGCTACTTTTTTGAATTGGAATATATAATTGAGAAATAAGTATCGAGAGATATTTTCTGGAAAAAAAGTACATTTGGCCCAATTGTAAAGCTTTAATCCCTCGCGTTCTAGAAATGAGGACAATCGGAAAAAATAAAAATTCAAATTTTCTTTAAAATTATAGTAACCTATAATGCAATTCTAAATTATCGCTCCGCAACATCAACTATTCTATCTTAGTATATTACCTGTTATACGGTCTTGATCACTTAGAATGCTTTCGTGCAATATGGATGAGCAACTAAGGCTGATGTTAGCGTTCGTTGAATATATTGTATCAATAGCCTGCTCGCATGGATAGCCCTCTCCACTTGTAAATGAATATGATGGAATACGAAATTG